GAACAAGATAATAAGAAGTTGCTTCTCTTATTAATCACTTGAGAAAATACCTCAAAACTCAAGCACACAAAACAAACTCTCAAAACTCTATTAGGTTGCAATAATACTGCAACTCTTTATATACGACTTATCAATATCCTAAACTGACTAGTAAAATCAATAATAGATATTTCCTAATCTCTTTTAATAACCAAAACAAACTAAGATTAGGTAGCTTGTACTTCAAGCTATTTCAAGCTTATCCCAACATTTACCAAGAATCGAACAGTTGTAGTACAACTCAAGTTTGATTTTATTTGTATGTTTTCCTCCCATAATCGCTTTTAGTACCAAAAATTTTCGATCCTCATCATCAGATGTAAAAATACTAAGAAGCTTCATCGATTTAAAAAACAATCTTGATCAAAACACTTGCATATAGAAGAAGCTTAGACTATGATGAAATTGTACCAAATCGTGAAGACAAATATGCAAATCTTAAAGCTCCATCTCTTGAGAATCTTTACCTAATTTGAAAAAAGCAAAAATTGATTACCTATGAAACTGGAGAATGAGAAGAAAACTTAAATAGACAAAAAATGAAAATATAAAATACTGAAAGATAAAACTTGAGCCAAATGCACCAAATTAGAATATAACTATCCGCAAAAAAAAAAAAAAACCAAAAATCTAAGGGGAAAAATTCCCTTTTACACATTCAGTAGTACCAGTATTTAATTTCCAGATTAGTAACCTTACGATTTTCTACATAGTTCTTTCGATGAGTGAAACACATACATCCTTTATAATGCTGCAGCCTTCACGAATCATTGCAAAATGCACATTGTAAAATATGAATAAACACATTTATAAGAGTTTATAAATATATTTTAAAAGTTTATATAATATTTTTATAAGGGTTTATAAAACAATTTACAGTATATGGATTTACAAAACTGTTTAAAAAAATAAAATGTATAAGAATATATGTGTAATTTATCAATCATTTATAATGTTTATAAATCGTTTATAAATTTTTATAAATGATTTAGAAAGGTTTACAAATCTTTTATAAAAGTTTATAAATCATTTATAAGATCTAGAAAATTGATTGTAAAGGTTTATATACCATTTTTAGAATTTTATAAACCATTTATAATATTTTATAAATCATTTAAGGATTAACTTAATCATTTGTATAAGGGTTAATAAAATCATTTATATGGATTAAAAAATCATATTAAAACATTACTCATAAGTCCCCTTTATTTATAAGAGTTTATAAATTAATTTATAAGAGTTTACAAAAAATTAAAAAGGTTTATAAATCAATTTTTAAGATTTTATAAATCATTTTGTAAGAGTATATATAATCATTTTAAGAGTTTATAAGAAAATCTAAGAAACCAATCAATTGTTTAAAATTGTTTTTGAAAACATCATGGATATACGTTTAATAGTAAGAATTTATAAATAATATTGTAGGATTTATAAGAATTTTGACAACAGATTTAAAAGAGTTTATAAATCAGAGAGAGTTAAAAACATTCTATAAGGTTTCATAGATCAATTTAAGAGTAAATAAATCAGTTATATATATTTATAAGAGCTTATACATAAATACATGACATATGATGTAACCAATAACTGCACCAACAAATCAATATTATTAAAAGATAATCATTGTTAACAATTACCCTTATAAACCCATGGCATATTACTTATTTTATAAGATAACATAACTCTTATGTATTATATTGTTAAACTTAAAAATATATTTTCTATTATAGAAATTAAATTAACATAAAAACCATGCTTAAATATAAATCAAGAAATATTGATATGCCAACTTTTAATAATTTATATATAATATATTATAAAATAAAAATAAATCAATACTATTAATTTAGAATCATTCCTATTTTTTTACCCTTTAACTACTTGGTATATTATTTTTTTGTGCCACTGGACCTACCATTTTAATAAACTGCTTATTTCATAACTGATGCTCTACGCTTTTCATATTTTGTAACTACTACGTTTCCAAAATAACCGGGACCAACTTCCTTATATATCTAAGGGTTTTAGTAATAAAACTCCTCAACTAAAAATGGATAGTAAAAAAATGGGTCCAGTGCGAGTCACGATGATGAGTTTTGAAAAACCTAATAATAGATTAATGAGTTTAAATTACTAATAGTATAGATAATATGTAGGTTAGAAAATGTTTTTTTTTTTGATTATAAAGAAAAACATAAATATAATTATAAAGAAAATTATAAATATAAAAATTATTTAGAAAAAAATATAGCCACCCTTTCAAATATAATAATAAAGAAAAACATAAATATAGAAATTAAAATTTTCAAAAAAAAATCAAACAAAAAATATTCCCTCCCTTTGTAGTATTGATTACAACATGATCAACAATCCTCTAATATGGAGTTGAATATTTCATTCTCTGATTCTATGATCATCATGTAATTACAACACATGAATACATTTATATATAAAAAAATCATCTCTAAAAATTTTTATAAGGAGATGAATATTTTTACCAGCCTAGAAGGGTGACACACCAATAACCCAAATATCAGCTTCTGATTCATACTTCATTTTTAAAATCTCTGGTGCTATGTAATAAGCATTACCCACTGTATCTTTGAACACATCTTGGCTGGTAGAAATCGGAGAGACCAAAGTCAATGGTTTTGAGAGGAGAGTTCTCATCTTTGTTCAGCAACAGAAATCCCTGTGAATAACCCCATGGAATGATAAGTAGGCTCATTCTTAACGATGGTTCTCAACAAAGAAGCAGCTGCTCTCGCCGAGTAATTTCATATAGAAATAATCCTATCGAAGAAAACTCCATTGCAAAAAGCCCCATGAACAAATGCACAGAATGCTTATTCTCAGGGCCGGCTAAGAGGGGGGGGACAAACGGTGCGACCGCCCCGGGTCCAAATCCGTGTCTCCCCGTATCAATTAAGAGGCCCAATATTTTTTATATTTACATATTTTTATATAAAAGTTTTAAAATATTCATTAAATTTAAGTGAAAAGGAGCCCAAAAATATTTTATGTGTATATAATATATTTTCATCCCAAATTTTATAAAGATTAAGGATAAAAAATATTCACTAATTTAGGTGGAAAGAGGCCCAAAAATATTATATGTATATAATATATTTTCATCTCAAATTTTATAAAAATCAGTGATAAAAGATTTAAATATGTATAAATTTTAATAAAAAAATATTAAAAATTTAATATTTTTATTTTGCTCTGGGGCCGAAAAAATGTTGAGCCGGACCTGTTATTCTCATAAGCTCCTTCAAGCTCGACAACATAAGAATTTCCACTTCTTATAAATCATTTAATAAAGCCTTATAAATTAGTTATAAGTATTTATAAATAGTTCTTAAGCCTTACCAAAATGGTTTATAATCATTTTTAAGTTATTTATATACCTTTATAAATTCTAATAAATGAAAGCCAATTTATTAAAATTAATAAAGAACCTTATAAACCCTATAATTAGTTTATAAACCCTTTCAATGGTTTATAAGGGTTCATGAACTGATTTATGAAATTTAATAAACTAATTTATAAGAGATTATATTTTGATTTATAATAGTGTATAAATTGATTTATAAGGTTTTATAAATTCATTTATAATAATTTATAAAAACATCTACTGGAGTCTATAAGTTAATTAATGCTTATTCCAAGAATAGGCAAGTCTTGTGTACTATAAACTTCATCTGGGAGTTCTATCATGTTTGACACAATCAATGGTGATCTTTGTGTTTCTATTTGCAACATAAAAGCATGAAGCTAATAAAATTATACAATTATTTATAAGTTCTTATAATATAAAATTGTAATAAATACATCAAGGGTTTTGCTACTTCGAGCATTGAGGAAGTTTTGAGCATTAGAAAATTCATCGCATGACTGTCTCATGTTTGACACAATTAGTGGTGATCTATGCCTTTATGTATGCAGCATAAAAACATAAACCCAACAATTGGTATACAATAATTTTATAAGGCCTTATAAAAATGTAAAAGGAGTCTTAATGCTTCAAGGGCATAACTACAGCCACCTTTATTTGGCACAATCAAAGGGAGTGTGTACATATCCTTTTGCAACATAAAAACAGGAGACAAGTAACTTTGGCAAAGTAAATAATAAGGCCTTATAAATAAAATGTCACCAAAGAGTTTACCTCAGAAATTGTTTGCAAAGGAGGTCAAGGTCTGGAAAGACCGAGCTCGGCGGCAGCAAGGACATTTGACGTTCAAATGCAGCCACTGGTCTATGCAGTTTCAGCTGTTTTATGCATTCCTCCATCATCAATCCATTCCTCAAAGTTTCAATACTCAGAAAAAAACAAAAATACTTTTTACCTATACCAAGACATACATTATTGGGTCTCATTTGTCTTTGAATCTGTCTATGTATTCTTCTATGAATATAAATCAATTATTAGAGTTTATAAACTATTTTATAAATTTTATAGGAGTTTATAAAACCTTGTATGAACTATCTCTAAAGTTTATAAAACACTTATAAATATTTTAAAAACTATTTACAAGGGTTTATAAAACCATTTATAAGATTTTATAAAACAATTATAAATCTCCTCATAAGGATTTTTAAATCTTTTTACAAGTGTTTATACAAAAAATATGAGTTTAATAATCTACATAATACAGTTTATAAGAGTTTATAAATCATTTAGAAGAGTTTATTAATCATTTATAAAAGTTTATAGACCTTTACATCATCGATTCCTCCTCCAGGTGTTTAATATTCAGAATAAAAAACAAAATGCTCATCACCTATGCCAAGAACTACACCATTTGGTTAATACAAGATTGAATGAGAACCTAAAGCATATTACTATGTGATTTTAAATAATAAGGCAACTTTGCTTTAGAAATGTGTTTTAAGTGTAAAAATAGAACAACCAAAGCTGTTGAGCATTACACAAATACCATTGGTACCTAAACCGTTTAGTTTCTTCTCTTGCCCTTGTTTTTTCTACATGGCACTGTAGTCCAGCCATCATCGGCTTTTGGTTCATTAACAGGCATGGCTTCTGGTTTCTCCTCAGATGCATCCACCATCATGTCTGTGGTTTGATCACCGTTCATGTTTGTATCCTAATCTTCATCATCATCGCTTCCTCATCGTTACCGTTTGAAATCTACAATACCACAATGGTCTAAATTCTAATTCATGGAAATAATATATACAGGACGAAGCAAATCAATATACCAAACCTCTGTAACAAATGCTAAAATCAAACAGACTTTGTGTAACAACTCATTACCGGGTCTAAAATTTTTGGAAAGACTAATGGGCTTCTCTACGGCCCACTTGTCCAAAAACCTAGGGTTTCCTACAATTCATTGTAAAAAGGACTGCAGCCCCCTTCTTTTGTCTCATCCTAAAACTGAAGCGAAGCCCTGCAAAGAATCCAGGAGACACGAAAGTCCTAGCCGTCAAGGTTCCTTTTCTCTCTCTCACGATCTCTCTCTCACGATCTCTCTCTCTCTCTCTCTCTCTCTCTCTCTCTCTCTCTCTCTCTCTCTCTCTCTCTCTCTCTCTCTCTCTCTCTCTCTCTCTCTCTCTCTCTCTCTCTCTCTCTCTCTCTCTCTCTCTCTCTCTCTCTCTCTCTCTCTCTCTCTCTCTCTCTCTCTCTCTCTCTCT